AATAACAGTTTCAGAGAAACTCACGTGTAAATTAAGATTTTCGAATATGTTTTTTTTTTTTGTTAGATATTTACGACCGTATGATAAATTCGAAATTTCTGGATCCGAGTATTTCGAACGCAAGAAAAGTGAACAAAACACGAGGTTTTTTGGTCACTTATTTATACAAAGAAGATATAATCATTTTATTAAAAATAAAAAAATGAAATTCTTTTATCTTAAGAACTATTCAGTGAAAGAGATTAACCTTAGATCCCGACCACATATACATAAAACTTTCAGTGGCAAGCTAAAAAAGGTCAAGAGATCCAGGAATCGAAATACTTTTGATCATTTTGATCTTTTTGAAAAAAAGATTAATAGCCGCATTTGAAGAGTCGCATATTAAATCAAAAACAGTAAATGTCATTATTCTAATTAAACGGTCGCAAATTAACTGATCAATTCCTTCTTTTTATCACGTTTTAATTTCAAAAGAAACCATTCTGTATAACGACTTCTTTTATTCTATTATCTTTTAATCACAGGTTTTCAGTAAATATGGTACTCTTTCTTTTTTACGCCATGTACATTCCATCCTAATCTGAAGTAAATTGTCCTGGATAGATAGATATTCTTACTCTGAATGAAAGAGAAGAAAATTAAAATGGAGAAGAATCTAAACATCTTTCCGACAAATTCGATACTGACTTGGTGAAAAATATGGATATCCAAATCAACGCTCTTCCTTTTGCTCATAGAGCAGTAATAATACACGCTTGGTAACAGTGCAATTTGTTTGTAGATAATCACTAATATAATTCGTACTCTAACAAATCGTCTCTCGATGAAGGAGTACAATAATAACAATGAAGGTAAATATATATAACACTAACTACACTAGCTTGTAGAAATTTTACATTTAATTATTAACTTACCTTTTTTATTTCTCTAGATGAATCTCATTATAGTAATTCAAAAGCTTAAGTGTTGAAAAACAGAAAAAAACTGACTTATTGTACGAATAGTGCATTGTTTTATTTCTTACTTTTTCCAATGTTGACAATTCAGTTTAATCATAAAACCGCAAAATAATAATAAACTACATAACTATAGTTTATAGACGTACGCTAAAGTATATTGCTGAAATATAAAGCGAGAAAGGAAGACAATTTTGATTTTTCTATGAACGACGTGCAAATGATAAAACAGAAAACGACACATAATTTGTTTTTATTAATAATAGAAAGCATCAACTGTCTCTATCTATAGGACACATACTATTGTATTTGGTATGGTGTTATTAAAAAACATGGGCGGACGCTAATAAACAAAGTATCGCATTTAAATACACGAATTAATAATAATTGTGATAATGGAACGATCGAGTCACTTTCATCCTATCACACACGCATAACTCCGCTGGTATATTAAATAATAGTAATGAAAAAAGAGAAAGAAAGGAGATGAAAGAAGACATTTTTTCTGTTTTTTAATTATAACATCCCCACTTGCAATGTTTCGCACATAGTATAACTCAAAAAAGAAAATTTATTCAAACGTAATAAAAATGTACTTAGAGTTAGAATTACTTAGTCAACAGAAACACCATCATGATGCTGATATTAAATAAATAAAAGAAAAGAAAAGGAACTTTATTTAAATAGAAGATTGTAGTTACCTTTGAACGATTTATGATTAATTAAGAATTATCTTATATTTGTATCGAATTAATAGATAAGAGTTAGAATCGGAAAATATAATTTTATCTAGATTTTTGATTTATCCTCAAGGTTTGTATTTTATATGAAATTATTTTGATATTAAATCTTTTATATTGTATATTAATTCAAACATAATCACACTGTATTATATCCCGAGGAATAGTTTATACCGAGAGACATACTTTAAAACAATCAACATCAATTAAATACTAGATAATGAAAAGATTTTTAGTAATTTGACATGAATGAAAATAAACAGTAAAAAGTAGAATCACTCTAATGTTTTATTGATCTGATATTTTTTATTATACATTTCTCAAACTATTTCCTAATGTTAAAATGAATTTCAACTCTAAACGTATACTTATAGTAAATTGAAATAGTACTACGTCTATACCGGATGTTTTTTCTCAAAGTCAAAATACATAAAATTGAAACATATCATACTATCAATTCAATTATTAAAATTGGCTTTTACATTCGTATACAACATTGAAATATTACTGATGTTCGCACTCATATTTTTTCAATAAATCTTTTTCACTCTTGTTTCTATAATCATAATAATAACAATAACAACAATAAGATGTGAACAATTAATATAGTCAAAACATTATGATCCTTTTTCTTTTGTTTAATTGAGAATTTTCATGACATTTTTCAATACTATTTATAGTACTACCTTTCTTAAAATCAGATTCTACAGCTGTCGTTCAAAGTCTAGTTCAAGAAGAAATCGATCTTATTTGTACTTAGTATGTGAATAACACATGGGATTAAATAGTGATAAGTGTTCGTGGACATATTTCTGTCTAGATCCGAATTTTCAATCAAATTTATCTTTTTCCCTTAATAATCAACTGTTAAAACATGAACCAATGTCAAAGCTTCTCGGCATACGTCTATCTCAGGACTTGAAATGGTCCATTCATATTAGTGAAACAGTTCTTTCTTGCAGACGTATGCTAGGCGCCATAAAATCGCGTTTTCCGTGATGCACCTGTTTCACTTCGGTTACTTCTTTATAAGTGCTGTGTAATTCCTAAGCTTGATTACTCTCAAGCAAAATATTGGGTGGTTTTTACTTGGAAGCTGTTCTACAATCTACGACTCAAATTTCATTACCCATACTGGGCCACTGGAATCTGTGCAGTGGTTAGCTGCCAGAATTATTACTAGGAACTTCAGTTATCAAACTGAAAGTCACGGTTTAGTAAAGAAGTTACAATTACCAGATTTGAAGAATAGACGCGGCGCCTTTACTTTCGTTTGATTCATTTTTTGTCGTTTACTCTAGAACTGCTCATTACTTAGTTCTTCTAATTTGATTATTTTTTCTTCCACTAGATCATCGGAACGTAATAGGCCCCATTCTCGCTAAACTATTTTTTCAATAGATCTTATTCACTCTTATTTCTATAATCATAATAATAATAACAACAACAATAAGGTGTAAATAATTAATATAGTCAAAAGAATATGATCTTTTTCTTTCATTTAATTGATAATTTTCATGACATTTGACAAAGAAATTTAAAATGTTTAATAAAGAAAAACAAACAATAACTTCTGTTTTAAGCATTTCATTTCACTTACGATCTTTATCTAATCGAAGTAAACGTTTAAATCTTTCTTCAAATGAAATTTTATCAAAATATTTTTGTGCCATAATTTACCAGATACTTTTAATATACACACTATTCGATTTTGAATAAATATACCCACATTTTATTCTTGTTTTTGATATTTTCTGTTAAAAAATAAGCGCTCATAAAAGTCATGATGAAAACAAATAAATATTCTATTGCACATTCCATGTATGTATCATTAAAAATTATCAAGTGGCTATTTTAACTTTAACATGCAGAATATCATTATCTCTTTCTCTCATCCGCAATACGAAAAGAAAAAACAAGAATAATATTTAAAAAAAAAAAAAAAAATTTCTGTTAGTAGTCATCGTATTTATAAATAGTATTATGAGTACGTGACACAACATAGAATAAAGCAAGTATAATTAGTTTGTAAAACACAAAGATTTTATTTATTTGCATAATGTTGATATTCCTGTGAGGGAGAGAGAGAGAGAGAGAAATAGCAGGAGAGAGAGGTCAAAGAGAAAAAATAATAATATTGTCATTGTTATTTTATTGGATAATATAAGAATATCTAATTCGATCAAATTCTATCAGATACAAAACTTAAGCGTCTAAGACTTTTGATATTTCTAGTTTCTACTAATTATTAAAAAAAAGAAAGAAAAGAATAGTAACTCGAGTATTTTATAGAGATTCAACGGATATATTCATGATTTGGATACCAGTTTTTATCTTATTTTCAAGCTAGAATATTCAAAGAATCTTTAAATGATAAACAGATTTCTATTCGAAAAGTTGGTATACAAATATAAATATTCTTTTTTGTATGGATGAACAGTTCAAAGTGATCTTTAAGAAAATGTAATTCATCCGCTAAATTCAATGTCATGCTTAAAACCGTGATGTGTGACTTTCTACGATTGCGTTTTGTAAAGATTACTTTGAGCTATAAACTCATACAAGAAGATATATTTATAGTTGATTATTAACTTTTTGAATACAAAAGTTATTTTATGTTTTTTTGTTTTTTCATAGATTCTTTCCATATTCCGGCTTTAAAAAATCATGAAAACTTGTCAACCGAAGATCTTCATCAAATATCGAGTCTATTCATTTTTAAAATCGATAATAGAATTAACAATGCTTCTATCGTCTGTTCTATGAGACAAAGTTAGTTGAATCTTAGAGAACGGCGAAGAAAAAGAGAACAAAAGAATTATTCACGCTGAAACAATTATTCATTGTTGTTGTTGAGAACTGGAACTGGAAATCGAAATATCAATGATATGTGAAGTTGAATCAATCCAAAAGAAGAGAGAGATTAGGTAGCAAGCGACTATTTTACATAACTTGACTAAAAATTTTTGTACAATTTTTCGCTATTTTTCTTTGTCTTTATATTTTCGAATAGAAGAAGGCAAGGAGCTCGCGATTGTGTCATTTTGTGACGAAATGTGTGCTTAAAGAAGATGAGACATATCAAACTTCTCTAAAGTTCTTGATTCTAGAGATGTATCAGTCATATATCTTTCCGTCTATTTTTCTCATTTGAACTGAAATTGATAATAGTAACATTCAAATATTGCTTTACTGTTTTTATTTTAACTTTGTCAATGTTAATTCTCGATTTTATTAACAAGATTTCATAATTTGTAAGACTCACTCATAGTACAAAAGTTCAATAGACTTTTGATTTTCATCATAAAAATAAAATAAAATATATTAAATTACCTTTGAATGGTGAATCTCTGAGTTCATCCTTGTTTCCATAACACATTTCATGTTCTTTGTTTTTATAATTTTTTGATCGATTTTCACTCGATTCAATATTATCATATTGTTTTTGTTGTTGATGTGTCTCATTCAATTCATCTTTTTTGTGATGTGGATTTAATTTATTTACTTTATTGATAATTTTGTCAATTTTTCTGGCTAAACTACTACTCATATTTTGTATAATTAATTAAAAATTTATTTTAGTCAAATAAAAATCTTTTATAATTCATTTTTGATTGTATCCATTTATTTTTTCGTGGTTAAACTAATTTCTACTTTGGGATTATACTGTTATATGATAATATGATTGCTGTATTGATTTTTCTTCTCTATATCGACTTATAACACCTATCTGACACGTGTTATATGTGCTTGTGTATATGTGTAAATCTCTAGGGTTTGATAAAAATATAATGAAAAATAATATTTTCTAGTTGTATCTACTAGTCATTATACAATAATAATATATCATTTATTATATTTCAACAGTAATGATGACCAACACTAAAAATGAAATAAAATTAGTATGATATTATTTTGATACATACTTTCTCTAATAAACTTATACAAACTTCTTTATGATCGTGTCTATGTGAGAGAAAATTTTATCTTTTTTTATACATTTTAAAATACGCATATCATGAAATAGTCTTGGAGAATTTTTTATTGACACTAAACTATATGATTATTTTATTTGTCTAAATCATTGAAAGAATGTTTAGTATACATTTTCAAAAATACACAATATCATATATTTTTCTTGAATTCAATAAATTAATAAAACGGATGGATACTATCAACCTCGGTTTAACAACGACTATCTATTAAATTTAGTTGAATATTATCAAGGGAAATAAGGAATAATACGATGTAAACTATTCAGTTATAAAACAAAAAAATATCTCTCCAAAACATTTTTTACTAGCTCAATTTATACGATTCAGTAATATTTACCAATTGAAAATAGAATTTACCTTTTTTTTGCTCAAGATTCAAGTTATACATTCTTCGACGAGCTGGTATAAATATAATAAAAAGAGATAAATGTTTTTTCTTAGTTGATTGATGAAAATATGCTGATAGTTATTCAAAGTAGAGAATAAATTCAAATAGTTATCAGATAAAAAGTTATTGTTCAAAAAATATATAGTTAAACAAGATTTTTTCGTTATAGTGTACTAAAAATAAAAAATTGAATGATTAATTCAAGATACATTTTGACTATACTATTTTTTTATGATAAAAATCACTAACTTACTGAAAATATTTTATATGAAGTAAAACACAAGTCTAAATATATTCAAAAACAAATCTGATATTATTCTCAAAATTTATACATCGTTGTATAACTTGAAACACAACTTATATCTATATTACCTGTCGTCATCTAATCTAATAGAAACTTCATCAATTAGCTTGAAAATCATAAAGAAAAAAAAAAAGAAAAAGAGAAAAAAGTCTCTACATGTGTCGATAGTTGAAATCTCTCGAGAGTGTTCGTTTGTAATAGAACGTTCTCTGTTTCTTTTTCTATTATCCCTCAAGACTCATTCCGAAAAATCTTGGCCGTGTAATTTCTGACATACACTACATAGACTATAATCATACCTCATAAGCTAAAGAAAACCGGCTAACTGTAGTTGTCTGTCCAAAAGAAAAATTGATATTATTAATCAAATGTGTCAAATTTTGTATCGGAAAACTCTCATGAGGAAGAAGTTAATCATCTGACACCCAGTGTCATAGTTTTTCTTCAACATGAAATGTAAAAACAATCGAGTTATTGATGTCTTTCACTCTTTTTATTTACATGTTAATATACAGAAGAAGAAGAAGAAGAAAAAAAAAATATAGAAAAATAGAAAAATGAATGAACGATAGATAAATGAAAAGAATGAACTATTGCATTCAGAAATGACCTGTAGTTAGTTGATTACTGATTTTTTCAAACTTTATTAAAATTGATTGTTTTTTTGAAAGAAAATTCAATAAATAGCACTAGTTTAATGGTAATGATATAAAATTATATCTTAAAAAGACTATCATTCAAATTAATTTTCAACTTTTTTTAATGAAAAAAATCGATATCATATTCTTAAATTCAAATTGCTAAAAAAATAGAAAATTGTTCCAATTAGTTGAAATTGGTATCTGTTTGCTGAATTGGTTTGAACTCTACTATAATCTAATTATATAGTTCACAAAGTATTATAAAAAATAATATGTAGACCACTTATGATTGATACTCGAGGATATTGTCGTTTTCTTTTTTCATTTATAATTGTCTATTAAACATTTGAAGATTGTTTTTTTTGCAACCTTGTTTTCCTCTATTTCGCGTCTCTCATTTAATAAAAATTTCTGAAATCATCTTATATGTATAGATACTCTAAATTATATTCAATTTGTTTATGAGCGTATAGAATGAAAATAAATGGACTACTCTCTTCGTCATTCATGAACAAAAACAATGAAATTTGTTTTTTTCCATTTTCGTTCTTTCGCATTGATAGATAACAAGAAAAGAGTTTTCATCATACGATCATTGCTACAAATTATTTATTTTTTCTTCTGTTCTCTGAGATTGCTTTTTAGATGCCATCTTTATTATTATTATTTTTTTTCCTTTTTCCAGTAAGAAAGAAAAGAAAAGTCTAACAGTAAAAGTAAAAGAGAATTATTCGATAAGGATAAATATATACAAAAATAATGCTTTAGGCATAATCATCAAATTTCCATTAACATGCAATATATCTATGGAAAGATATGAATATTATTTAAAAATATGACATGGAGGCCAATCAATTTTGATTATGTTTTGCTTTTTATCCTATCAAAAGAAGAAAAATTCCTGAAACTAATAACTAGATCCACAAGGCAAATTTCTAGCTAAATATTGAATAAAATTAGAAATTTTTCATGAAACTTTCAATATACCAGTTCAATTTTTAGAACAAATGTCATGAAAATATAATTTAAAGAGATCTTCTATTATGAAGAGGTGGCTTTTTTTTTTTAACGTAATTGTACCTATGAAACTATGATGTAGTTAGTATTGAGTACTCATCTCAACAACATGATTGAAATATGCTCGACGATTGCTGATGATGAAGTTAATGATATCTTTATGCTGAAAGTATCAAAAATAGTAAACGATTATCCATTTTTGTATAGGTACCAACAAGATATGAATAATTTAAGATTTTTCAGTATTCAAACAGATTAGTTTGCTGTGTCAACACAATAATTCAAGGATGAAAACTACAAAATGACAACAGTAGAATTACATGTTTTCCATTATTTAATGAAAAAAAAAAAAGATTTTGACATCAATAGTTTTGACTTGAGATATGTTTTTCATATAAAGAAAAGAGAAACATAATACGTTTCAATGTTAATTACTTCCTTTACAGAGTCACCGCTTTCAGCTTTTTTTTATTTTGATTCATTTCTTTTGATGAGATTAAAAAAATATCTATATAAGGAGAAAAACAGACTTCACGATTGAAGATCTAATAACTTGTCCTCTTCTTCACTTTTAATAAAGACTTTCGTTGAGTTGATATATAGGTCTTCCTATTCTCCTTTTTTTTTTATTTTCAGATTAATTATGCTTATTTGCAAAGGTCAAATTTCAATTTAACGACTGTCATTAAACAAAAATTTCAACATATTTTAACATTTGAATATACAAAGATAAGATTTTTAGGTATATCACTATTCTTTTTTTTTATCTGTTTAATATTCGATCTGCAGTATCTTTAAATTTCTATCTGTTAAGTCTAATATTATCGTAGAATATCATCTTAACATCAAAACAGTAAGACATAGTATATCACAACTAGTTTTCATTGTCGAAATAAGCATATTTTAGTGGTAATGCAATAATATCAAGTCGATATTTTTATTTCGACATATTATCTGTAAATAGATATATCACACGTAAACACACATACACACGTACCATGATGAGAGAATGTCAATCATCAGTTTGGAATGTTAAGAAAGTTTTTCCAATACATAAAAAAACTTTAGGAAATAAAGCAAAAACAACAAAAATCAAAAATTCTTCGAAGTACAAATATAAGAAAAATCAAAAAATTACAAAAAAAGAAAAACAAAGAAATAAACAAAATTTTTTTAGAAAATGTAACAAAATATAAACAAACACGTAGCGAAAATAACGACCATAAAAGTTGTTTACATTTGATCAGTTTCATAGCACTGTTTCTTATCAGAGTAATAAACCAACATGCAAATGAGGTAGATAAAAATGCATTATGCGTTTTATTTTTTTTGATCAAAATAAGTTTGTTAGTTAGAATAAAGTAAAGTAAAAAACAAAAACAAACAGATCTATTATACAAATCCAACTATAGGATTCTATCACAAAATGAATTGAGAAGCAAGAATGAGTTCATGTTGAATCATCACAGTTAATATTTAATAACTACTACATAATATATGTGTGCAAAGTTCAGGCATAATAAATTGTCAATCATGTTTGTTGAGATGTCAATTGGGTTGCATATTTTGTTAGTGATATTCTAATAGTCAGTCAACACACTCAATCAGCTGTTGGTGGTTAATGAAAAAAAAGAAGAATATAACATAAATTAACGGTTAGAACATATAATAATAGTTCAGCAAGATATATACGTGGAAAGTGGAAGCAAAGAATAAATGAGAAGGGCTAAGCACTCATTAAACATGTATATTGCAAGTTGGAGTAGTACTCGATTTTTTTTGTCCTCCTACTTCCTTCGAATAATGTGACCATTTTCGTGCTATACTAGTATCGTTTGATATATAAAATCATATTTATCTCATCTAATGCAAGAATAGGAGCTAAAGTTGTCTGAGATACAACCAGACGACTATAAAGTAATTGATTTTTGCATGCATAGATATACATTGTTATTATAACACCAAACGGTTAAAGAGTTAAAACTATCAGTGTTTTTAAATTAATTACTATTTTTATTCTTTTGTTAACTCATTGACAGTCAACAGAAAAAAAATTGACTTTAATTTTTGCTCAAGAAGAGCCTATAGTTATTTGCTCAAAATCACTGTTCAAATGAGAATCGCACGTTATGAACAGCGAAGAAAGAGAAAACAAGTTTCGTGTCTAAAATGCAATATAAAAAAAGAGTTCATGCAAACTAACCTTTTAAAAATAAATGAAATTTTAAACATACAAACACACTGATTATAGATTCTATATTCATGTTCGATTTGTTCGTTGAGCAACCGTCGGATACGGTTGATATCGAGCTGAAGGGGCTGTTGTAGCCCTGCTAATACTGGCACCTGAGAGACAACAATAATAATAATAATATATAATAAAAATTTATGAAACAACTTGAGAAGAGAAAAAAAAAAAATGATGAGGGAGCGTCTGTTCGTCAATATAGCAGCATGCACGAGTTCAGCTTTTTGCTCTATCAGAAAAATGCGATACCAATCACTGAACCAGAGATAGCGTACCTAAAAAGTATAAAAATCTACGAAATATAATTTTTGTAGCGGAAAAGCTACGAGACACACACATTGAATATCCACCCTTTTAATCTATCAAAAAGACGATTTCATATCTTTACAGTTCATTGCTAACATAATTCTAGGTGATATATAAAAAAGTGCTCGTGATATTGCACGCTCCCTCGCCAGTTATGCTTTTTTAAGAAGAAAAACAAAACTAACTGAAGCTCGAAATTGTAAAAAAAGAAAGCAAAAAGCACGACACTTGCTGTTGTTATTGTCATTATGTGTTATATGAAGCAGAATATAAAATCTGAAAATATACAAATGCTTTAGTAGTATTGCTCATGCTTTAGCTAAGCATTTGAGAGGACAATTTATTTTCATTTGCGTATGCACATACAATATGGAGATAAGAAGAATAACAGCAAAGAGTAGGAAGCACATTGTGAAAATAGGAAATATCAAGTTTTTAAGTGAGATGTACGATATATTTTATCAGTAATATAATGACAATAACAACGGTATCGTGGTGGAGAATAACAACGATTAAATCTAATACCTGCTGGTGTTGTTAAAAATGGAAACGCTAAAAAAAACAAAAATAAAACAAAATAATTTTTATTAATTCATCAAATTTTCATCATACAAAGAAACATACCTGCTTGATTTGGATCGATATGTGTCGGTTGATATTCGAATAACTGTGCACCGGAAAGAGCTACTTGATCTAATGATTGAAGTGGCGTAAATAAATGAACAAAATTTTGGTCACCATTTGCTGTTTGAATGAGTGAACCTTGTGGCATGCCTTGTGTCGCTTGTAGAGTTTGTTGCTGTTGATGAACAGGTGATGTTGTAAACATTGTATGACCACCTGGCGAAGCATTTCCCCCTGGATTCAATTGAGCAGCTAATATATTCTGTTGAATACGTTGTGTCAATATCAATGGTGCACCTATTTGCATGCGATTATTTGGAAATTGTATATGAATTTTTTTTTGAAATAAATTTGGTTCACGATATGTACCATTAATAATGGCTAATTCCATTAGTTGTTTCTTTTTCAAATCATCTTCGCCTTCGGCCTTAAAACAGGAAATAAAGAAATTTAAACAAATTTTACAAAATAATCACTGTAAAAGAATTTTATTGTACGCACTATCATACTTACAGCTGGTTTTAAAAGTTTAATAATTTCTTCTTTTGCTCGTTCTAATTTAACAAGTGCACGATTTTCATGATCTTCACATTGTATCAAAACGTGAAGTTCTTCATCCAAATGTTCCCAATTTGGTTTGCCACGATTTTGTTCTTCCTAAATTGATATACACATAAAATTTATCTCTGCTAGATACATTCATAGCAAACATACTTTATGTTTATCTCTCATTGAGCCGCGTCCTCGCACCATTATTTTACATCCAGTATCTGTTTCTAATTGTTTTGCTGTCATGCCACGAGGACCCAATATCCTTCCCACAAAATTAAACTAAAAATGAACGGATAGAGAGAAAACATGTGACAATTTTTCGGCTAAAAAAACACGATTAGTTTTCTTTTTTATTTAACATGCGAATAGATCTAATGGGTTAGAATATAGGACAACGAGCTATATGAAAATAATTTTTACAACAATCTGAGAGAGAGAAAGAGAGACAGACAGACAAATTTGACAATATTTATTCGATCAAGTATCATGCAATAAAAGAGACTATAAGGATCAAGAAAATGTTGATGCACAAGTTAAAAATATTTTAAATACGCTGAACAAAGAGCAAGAACTTGTGGGAAAACGAATAGGATGCCTAATAATGAGTCAAAGTTGAAGGGATTTTCTGTAACTGGTCAAGATACAATACTATTAAGAAACTTCATTCTTCTCCAACAGTACCTGTTGAAGAGTAGACTCATAAACAGCACACTCTCGTCTTAGTAGGTTATCTTTATGACTGTCACTATGGAGGCTTTTTTTTTCTTCATGTAAGACAGTTTAGCGCTCTTATTAGAATATCTTGTGTTGTTAGTCACTGTTTTTTGTTATTAATCAACTAAAATTACATCGTTTTTAAGATTGGTTGTTTATGTTATTATTATTAATTAATCATTTTATTGTTATCTCATTGGATTATTTTATCATTAAAAATTTTATTAACTTGTTGAACTGTTAAATATCTTGGTGTAAGCCACAGTATAAGTGCCAGTGTTTTAAAAAAATAAGTGCTTAGTTTTTTTCTTATATTACAGAATTTTTTTTTTTTGCATAAAAAAAAATGATTTGGAAGTTACTGTCGAACTATTATAGTAACGCTTGCGTGTAACGTGTATTTGTGAGAAAGATGAGAGCGCGCGCACTAGTAAGATTAATAAAAACTTCGAATATAAGATCGATGAGATAAAACGGGCATATTTTTTCCCGTGTACGTCATATAAGAAGTTAACTCTAAGGATAAGCATTAAGTACGCGAATATAAAATTTTGACCATCTACTCGCGTATATCAGTCTACTAAAACTTAGCAATGTTATATTGATAAATCATAAGGAATCTTTCATTGTTTAATAATGAATAGAAACGAATCTGTTTTATTTCATCGATTTTATACAGTCACATTTATTTTCGTCTAAGATAATCTGCACCTTACCATTTAAAAACATAATTGACGCCTATAAAACAGATGAGAAAATGATTGTACTACTAATAAAATGGTTCGAATATATTTCATAAAATCAGTGATAGAATAATATTGTTTAAACGTTTATCAAAAACTGCACACATTTTTAAAGAGATGAACTATTCTTTTTTTTTTTTTTACTGTTTCTTTTCTCCATATACAGTTTATGCCTTCTTGTTTTAATATGGCACTGAACATAACGAACAATATGCTTACACATTATGATTAATAACGAAACAATCTTACCTCGGGATGCTGTTGAACTGGTATAAATACTTTTTCTTGAAATATTTTTTTTTCCCCTAACGGATCGGGTAATTCCATTTTTGGTCTGGTGCTTAGATTGAATAGATTTACACGTACTTTGTTTATTTCTAAATTATAAATAAAAAATAAAAAATTAATAGTTTCAGAAAAAGGATTACATCATCCTATTCTTTTTTTAATTTTTCCTTGTATTTGCCTAGTAAAGAGATTGATCATATGGATAAATGGGCCTACGCTTACATAAAAATACTTTGTATTTTATAACATATAGATAGATAAATACATAGACAACGTGGGTGGATGTAGAGACAAAGTGAATTTATATGAGGTGGTGCTTGTCCACTACTATTTAGCTAGTCAAATAGAAGTGTATTTTTCTTTACCTTGATCGAGCAATCGTTCAATATGAGTAAACATATTTGGTACTGCTGCTAATTGTCTTTTATCTTTTAATAATTGTGCTAAATATTCTGGATTATCTGTTAACGATTGATCTGTTTGTGTTGCAGGTGGACTCGATAATGGAGAAAGTCCGGGTGTGGATGATGTATTGTTATTGTTAATATTTGTTGTTAATGTCATTGGCAATAGTTGCTGAGAAGGGTTAGGCATAAGCATTTTGTATTTTTTACAAAGTAAAGTTATACTAAATCAAAAGTTTAGGATGAAGAAAAGATTTTTTTTATATATGACCATCACTTGAATGTTCGAACAGCACGAGAGTACGAATGAATGAATAGTTAGTTGCTCAGTAATAATAATAATAACAAAAATCTCCTTAGATGAAAAAAAAAAAAAAATAATAAGAGAGGGACGAGAGTAAGTAAAAGAAATATTGGGACGAAAATTAGAATACGTATAAACTATACATAAGAGAAAGAGGTTTTTTTTTTTTCTTCTTTTGTTTACATATAAGTTCGTTTACATACATATACACATTCAAATTCATAAACCGTTACTTTGGAGAAATTTATAATTAGTTTAATTTTTTTTACTCTGATGATGGATATGTCTCTCTCTAAAATTAGAATAAAAATATAATATGGAGATTATCGTTTGAGCATGTCTTGTCTTCTCTATGTGACATAAAATTTTTATGTTTTTGATCTCTAATCACTATGCGTATGGTGTTTAGTCACAGTTCGATATTCCTTTTCATTTTCTCTCTTTCTTTTGACAAACAAGTATATAATGTACATGTGTTCGCCAACATTTAGATACATATGCATACAATAAATTTCGACAGAAGTTCACATTCACATTTTTGACGAAAAAAAAAGGAAGAAAATAAAAAGAGAAAGAAAATTGATGACTTGTTGTACAGGTAGACTATAGACGTCAAGACGACTAAGACGAAGAGATTCATTTTCGTTCGTTCAGGTGTGTATATTAAATGTATGTACCACTGTTTTTTTTTTCGTCAATTAAATACTTATTTCATTATTTTCTTTCTCTTTACTTGTTTTTCGCTTCAATAATTTTTGCACGGATAAAAGGTAATGTCATTTCTTGCACAAGATTTTTTGAAAAGAATGAAAAAAGAAAACATTTACAATCAAAATTTCTCTTGTAGACATCAGCTCCTACAAATATTTTTCTTTCGTTTTTATATATGTAATAAAACCAACAAATCCATGAAGAATCTTTTTCTTTTTTATTTATATCGAAATTCTCTCAACCTGTACAATGTGCTGAATGAAAAAACTGGAGGCGTTGAAAAATCTCTTTCCAAGCTGTTTTCATATGAAAAATACCAAATTTCAATGATTATCAAGTGATAAAAGATCTTTCAAAACCAAAGTGACATTGCAAAATTTGCTTATTTCTTCCAGTATGATTATTTTGTTTTCAGATAACAAATCTAGAAAAAGTTAAATGCATAGTTTAGAAATGAAATTCGTTTTTAATAATACGTATACATAATTGAAGTTAAAGACGAATCAGAAGTTGACAATTTAAACTAAATTAGTGTATATTTGTTAGTACAGTTTTTAATTAATGAAATAGAAATTTTACTCTGTTGAACAGCTTTTGTCTTATGTGGTATTGAAAGAAAAGATATGAGTTTAATAAAAAATGAAGATTTGATCATTCCTATAGTCTATTCTGTCCTATTTGGACACGGTTTCTTTCTATGTGAGTTTATAAATATGCTACGGAATATTTCAGTCAATATCGGAATCAGAATTATGAATGAAAATATTGAGTCACTTTTAATTATGGAGTTGAACATTTCGTTGAAAATACTATAACTCTTCAAAAAAACGTATCAAATGAAATGACACAAGATTTATGTTTCTCGTTGATCTCCGCCAACGTGCATAGTAAATTCAAGAACATTTAAACTAAATGTTCCTTTTTCTTGAAAATAACACGATGAGAAAAAGAGTTAAAATGTATCAACACTTTAACGGAAAAAAAAGACGGTTGTGTAATTTATAAACAAAATATTTTTTTTGCATAATCGTTTTGCTCTCAAGACAAACGTGTTTGGCTATTGGTGTGAGTATACATTTTACTCAAGTATGTACTGTTGTGGACTGTGCCAAAAGAAATTGAAACGATCAGTTCAAGATGGTATTGTTTCTCTGTCGATAAAAAAAAAACACTAGCCCAAAACCTTCTATTTTTCTTTCGACAGGTGAAGTCACTCGTCATGTAGAGGTCAAAGAAGGATCTTATACATTTGAAGAAATGGTCAATCATTCTCTACAATATAAAGAGAATCTGACGGAAAGTTCACCATCAGCAGCACCAGACTCTGGTACTATTTTGCGCATGATATGGATTATATTTTAACATGTATAGCAATCTAGTTTTACTTCGTTTTAGCGACATTGACTAAAAAAGGTATTAGAGTTTTGACGTTTCTGATACTTATCACAGAGATGAACAGCACAACATGGCTAATATTTTTCTTCTAACATTAACCATTACACCATCTTCTATGACAATATTACAATTTAAATTCACAAGTCTTTTCTAAATCACTTGATTTCATTGCTTTGCTCAATTGTGTATCAGTTTTGGAAGAAACATTTGTAATGTTGTACGTAAAAATGTCTAAAATACGTAACATTATCGATAGCAGTAGTGATAATTCTAAATGTGTCAAATAACTGCTAATGTTGACAAATTCAAATAGCTCTAGGATTTATAAATCATTTGAATTGGAATTCGGTTGTTAACCTTAAAATATCATCATGTTGGCAAAATATATAATCTTCTTATTCCTTTTTTAAGTGGAAACACAAGATTTTTCCACTCATCTTGATTTGAGTCGTATAACCGTGCCGAAGAAGATAGCTCACTTAAAGGCCGGTTATACATTATGTAGTAATGGTGAAATATTAATATTACAAGATGGTGTCACGGCGTTACAAATAAGAAATCGTACATTAGTACCACAACATCTTCAGTGGAATCGTGGTCTTATCCGCGATATTTGTTGGTCATCATTACGTCATGTATTTATATTTTTATGTCAAAAACGTGTTTATAGTTTTGATCCGACAAATCCAGAATCCGAAACAAATAAATTTCAAGATATTTTACCGTACGAGGAAAAAGATTCATTTTGGAAATGTTCATGTATTCAATCATCACTTTATATTTGTTATTCGGGATACGCAACATCCGTCGAAGAATATGATCTATCATCCTCTACTCCTACGTTAAAAAAGCGGTGGATTTCGCCAAAATCATGTTTGGCAACAGAGGGCATATGGGCGATTCAATGTCATCAAGATCAAATTGGTTTAACAATAATGGATGTAACAACAAAAGAATGGCGAATAGAAGTTCGAAACATGAAACTGAAAAAATTATGGGATCTGAAGATTCCTGTAAGTTAACCAACTCTGCACATAAGAACTGCCTTCGACTTGTTTACTGTTATTATAGATTACTACTGGTGATTGTGAACTAACTTTATTACCGAACAATGATTGGCTTGTTATAAATAGTTGTGGTAATCGTTTATTTCAAATATCAGATCGCAAAATGAAAGTAGCTGTTCAGTATGAGAGGGAACTAAAAAATGCCGTGATGTTTGCTGATAAGTTTTTTATTGTACGAACAAAAAATACAATTGAAATCCATTAACGTGTACTCCCAAAAGTATACACGACAATCATATTCAAAACTTTGGTATTAATATATGCAAGCATCTAAATAGTCTAGAATGCGTCTGCTTTCAGAACCTGTATCATATTTTCTACAATTAATTCACTGTTCTCATTTCAAAAAGATTTCCAAATACCTCGAAAAACAAGGCGTTTAAAAAATCTATATTTATTAGAAGAATACATGAGACTTCATTATACATAACAGGTGTGGTGTACACTACTGTTAGTCTTCACTTCTACACTTTCATAGCGATGGTAGCGCCGTATGGTGTCAATTTTCTAAGAATCGTTCTCACGCCTTTTAAGACAGGGCTCGTGGGCAAATCGAGAAAGGCGGCAGAAAGACTTCATGTTTTTACTAAAAAAAAACAACTTTTTTATGCAAATTCAAGGTCACTGACTATAATGTAATCTTGAACCATATGCGTCTGTCAACGGTTTTCTCGAGTTTTCCGAAACCTGCAAGAAGATTCCACAGTAAAAATTTTCGACTTGTCCGGGTACTATAAATAAAAGTGTTTCTCATTCAAACTCCGCTCATTCAGTTTTGTCTTCAATAACTGTCGTTCCATGAGGTTTTTATTAGCTTCAAGGACTTCTCTCATACAACTATTATTTATCTGTACACATATGACGGCATCAAGAAATATACATTGTACCATCGACAATCACCTGCTCAATTAGGATGAAATTATTAATTACTACAAAACAAAATTCGATGGAAACCAGTAGAAGTATCAGCAGAAATTCAACAAAAAAAGACACTGAACGGAAAATTTCTATTCACAACAGATGAGTGCTTGATACCTGGGCAAATTCGTTCATTTTTCTCTCGACTCAAATCAGCGAGAGGGCAACAAGTCCAAGCTATCGAAGTTGAAGCGGAAGAATTGGAAGAACAAGCATTTGTTGCAGTCTCTCAAAGAAACAATATACGCGATTCTATAGCAGTGGCATCTGCGCAAACACCAATACATCGAGAAAGACTAACTTCTCTATATAAAAGGCAAGGATCTACCCTCGATGTTATGTTAAAACGATGCTTATCATCAAGAACGAAAAAGAAAAACAAAGATAAAGTGACAAGCGACTAAGTGCAATATGTACGAGGCACGGTTAAAAACATACTTGTCGTGATCAGCGACTTTAAATTTGTATAAAAAAGTTGTTTTTTTAGTCAAAAAAATTTTCGGTCCGTGCGGATCTCTGGTTCATTCGTGGTTCAGTCAATCTTGTGGTGGCGCTGTTTATCATCGATTTTTGACTATGTTCGGTAGATTCTAGAAAAAAGTTTTTATAGCACATTTTGTAGAAAAATGCTTGCTCTATAAAATGTCATTAAGAGATATCTGGTTTAATGAAATCTGACTGAGAAAATTAATTTTTATTTAAAAAATTTAAAAAATTTTCAATCCTTTTAATTTTTAAAAATACTGTTTTAACTTTGAAGAATCGAAAACTATCTCATTTTGTACACTTTTATATGCTCTTTCAATGAGTTATAGCTCGAAAAGAACGGACAAATTCGACGTCAAAGTATATAAAATACAAAGAGATGTTGTTTTTACGAAAACACGGTTACATCCTTTTTTTAAAAAATTCATATCTCGGAAAGTAAAAGGTTCTAAAGGCTAAAATTTTGGATTTATAGGTTTCTGACAATGGACGATACGAGAAGCATGTCTTTAAAAAAGATTTTTTTCATGTGAACGTGTTTCTCGATGGGCTGGCGAATCTTCTCTTAACGGCGCATTCTGATATTCACATGCAAGTGCGTCCAGCTTCGCTCTGAGTCACACGATGCTTACTATTCCAAAAATGTTAATTTTAGGTGTTAGAGTTGGTCCGTAACGTATACCTAGACAGCTGTTGCAATAAAGTCGTAAAAGGTTTATGAAAAGCGCGGGCGCACTCTTCTAATCGAAAATTAAAGTTATAGGCAACTGTAGCTGTTTTTTTAGATTCCACATAGTCTTGTTACTGTTCCTGACGAGGAAATCTATCCAAGTGATACTTTCCAATTTCGTCGTTCATACGTCGATCAACAGAGGGTATCACGCTAGTAAAAAGCCTAAAAGAATTCCCTCCCACGACTCTTGAAGAATCGGTTTTCTGGAAAATCAGTTTTTCAGAAACTCTATGCACATAAATTTCTGTTTAAAATGACACATTTCCCAGCTCCAGTCCGGTTGAATAAAAGTCAACTGGTTCCAACTCTGTCCTATCCTACAAAAATTTCTCGTACCCTACCCTATCGTACTCTATTATTTTTCACACCCTACCCTGTCTTGTCCTATCCTATTGACTTCAAACAGTTTGCACCCCACATCCTACCCTACACGTAAGAAAGTAGAAGTAAAATAGGACCATTTATTCAGCGATCGAAGTTCGTTTTTCTACTTGCAGTTTTATTCAAAAACAATAAACACATTTTATTGTTGCCGAAAATTTCGCAATAACAATATGTCGTCAAGTACATCGGGATTCAAGGATTGTCGTCTTTGTTCTAATATTCGGCCGGTAGCGCTGAATATTCTTTCTCACGTGGTCGAGCTCGCGAGAACTCCCAACAATGATCGAGACAACAAACTGAGATTTGGATAGATGACAGTATGACCCATGAAGTCATACGCCACTAAAGGAACGAATGTCTCTCAATGTTAAGCGTTACTTTCCATTTGTTTATAGAGTACAGTCTATGACAAACATCCTATGAAAATGTTTCGTACCCTTAATCTACCCTACCCTAATAGGATAGGGTAGGCTAGAGTCATCCAGCAGACCTCTGCTCCAAAACCTTTTTTTTGAACGTTCTATCGTCACAAAAGAGTCTGCTTCCGGAGTTCTTTCGGAAACCTTTCGGACAACTATTTATATTTTTTGTCAACATGTCACGTTCATCTTCCCTTGACTGTAATGTCTTTAAAGCGATGCCATACGAATTAAGAATTCATGACAGTTATCTGTTTTATCTAGAAACCCTCTGTTCTCGCGAGTAAGATACTCCTTTCGACGTACATCATAAATACGTTTTGCTTTTTTATCATCGCACCTCATTCTAAGAAGTAACAAGTTTGTATCAACAACTGTAGTTCTAACACCCACTTTTCTTTCTCTTCTCCACCTACAACAGGCAGAAGATTCATACCTTTCATTTTCATTCACGTGATTGCATCTTTGAGGTAATCTATATGCTTTGTTTAAAAATCTTGGCGTGCTCATTAACAGCCCTCGCATCGCTTGCCGATTCGGTTGGTTTAGATCAACTCAACTCGGATCATTTAAAAAGCAAATTTCAACTCAAACTCCGCAAAAAACGACGCGCAATTCTGGAGTTGAGGTACCCAACTCTGATTCGGATACACTTCGAATTGAACCTCCATGGGATCGTCGTGTTTCTTTATTAATCGTTTCGAATCCTAAAAGGCATTAGTCTCTATATCTGTCACCGTACTTGAGTATTAGTATTCTAGTAGCAGTAGTATATTTTGTTTGTTTGGTCATGCAGAGTAGGCCGTGACCGATATCATCATATAGATTTTGTGATATTGAAGAATGGCCACGGCCAATTTGATTGCTTGAAAGAAGCGTGTGTCGTATTTGGTGCAGAGTTAATTTCTCTGTATCTTCACTGATGAACAATGACATTGAGTAACACAGAGGGAGAGACTAATAAAGATACAGATAATCTCATAGATGCGACAAATGAAAAGAGCCGTATCACCTTCAATATCCATGTAGGCAACTGTCGTCTCTGCTATGACCATACATTCTTCAAACACAAATGCGGCCAACAAACGTTAACAAACACTTTTAAATAGACATTTTTCACAGGTTCAAGGACGATGATGATGATCATCGCCTCGAGGACCACTCGTGCTAAGCCCAATGTATCATGGCATGGAGGCAGAGGAAGGAAGAATGTTGTGGCGATGGTGGTGGTAAGATCCATTTCTGGCTGCTTGTAAGTGCACTGTAAAAAAAAGTTCGATGCACTAAAAAAACCGCATTTATTTACTTGACATGTGCTAGCATGCACCGAAGTGAATTTATCCACTTTTATGCACAGTGTATGCCCTAGGTGCCATTCACTACTAGTCTGGCATACACTGTTTACGTACTGTACATGCGCATGATAAGTAAATGGTCTATGAATGACAACGCTCATGTACAGTGTGTAAACAGTGTATACCACACTAGTAGTGAATGGTACATACACTGTGCATAAAAAGTGAATAAATTCACTTTCGTTGAATGACAAGTAACTAAACACAAGATTTTAGTGCATAGAGTTTCTTTTGCAGTGTGTGTCAGACCAGCAACGAAGAGAAAAAGAGTATAATGTGCTTGTGCTGCACACTGGATGACCACGATCGTCAGAGTCACTTCCTACTTTTCTTCGCGATTTAATTTTTTTTGTTTCTTCTTTCACATTCTCATGCCGCTACATAAGCGCATAATATAATGCGCTTGTGCAGAGAGTATAATCATTATACTCTTATGGCTCGTGCTATAATCTGTAAACATTTGCTGATTGATATTATAGAAATATTGAAACTGATACATCGAAGTCCGCATGTCTTCGTGTGAAGTTTCAAGTCGAAATTCGATAATCAGTTTTCCTGGTATTCCTGAGGGGGACTACGGCGTTCAGTTAAAGAATACCGTAAAAATGCAGTATTTCCGTAGTAATAAGCTAAGGGCCCTAACTCTTTTTAGGGTATTCATAGCTCATTAGGATCTACATGATGCACATAGTCTTGACTTAAAAGCAATTAGACAGTTGGGGTAGTTCCCTCGTTAGTAAGGACTGGAATTGTATCTGAATGTGACTGTAGAAAGAACAAATACCGGAAAGGAGAACATTAATCTCCCTGAAGAGTAGACAGGTGGAGGACAAATCATGAAGAAAGACGCTGTTAGGCAATCCTGCTCGTCACTGATCCATTATCGATAAGTTCCACATCGGATTTTCAT